TCTGGGTGATCTTTGGATATGTTGGTCACCCAGATCAGGGCCATCATATAACATTTATGGGGATTTTATGTTTTGGGGTATTTTTCAAGTGTTGTGTGTTTTTTTTCTGCCTGGAGATAATTGAGTTATTACTTTATCTGACTCCATTATCTCACAGGCAGAGAGGAGGGAGTTAGCTGTTTGTACTGGGAGTGTCACACTTTGTCACTGTATTATTATTGGTTGTAACCTTTATGTCCCTGTCCCCCACAAGGTCCCCTTGCACGTGGACTTGCATAAAAGCCAGTGTGGCACACATTAAAATCATTCCTGTTACACCCTTCATCTAGTTTTGGCTGATGTTTGGGTACCTGTCTTCTTTACTGGGAGAATCTACTTGGGAGACTGCCATTCATTTGGAGAATCGTTCAACTCAGCACCCGAACTGCGAGCTATAATCACTCAGGCTCAGGCAGTTCGGGAGAAAATAGACGAACGGGTAGTTACTATACCAGCTTTCGTTACAGGGGTGATGCTGTGAGGGAGGGGGGAATTCTGTAGGGGGGGATACTAGGAGGGAGGTGGTGATGGTGTGAGGGAGGATCGATGATACTGTGAGGGAGGGGTAATACTGTGAGGGAGGAATTCTGTGGGGGGGATACTGGGAGGGAAAGGGTAATACTGTGAGGGGTGAATTCTGTGGGGGGATACTGGGAGGGAGGGTGTAATATTGTGGGGGGGGATACTGGGAGGCAGAGGGGTGATAGTGTGAGGTGAGGGGGTGATAGTTTGAAAGGGAGGGGGGCAGTGGCGGATCCGGGATTCTCCCCTGCCGGCTAATGCAGGGCTGGCATTGTCCAAGCACCAGCCCTGCGATGTGCCTGCGGACTGGGACCGGAGGGGAGATCAGAGTTCTTCCTCCCCGGTCCGCAGGCTCTGTGCTGGCAGCTGGCAGGGGAGGGAGGGAGGGAGGGAGAGCTCCTGTGGGTCCTCCTCTCACGAGCACGGAGCGTTGCCGCGGTTACCACGGCAACGCTCCAAATCTCGCGAGAGTGAACTGTAGCGCGGGCTAGAGTTCACTCCTACCACTGGACCACCAGGGATTCCCCACCGGACCACCAGGGATGGAGAAATGTCCCCCCTCCTCCCAGTAATGGTAAGAAGGGAGGGGGGGGGACATAATCTATATTTATTAAATAAAAAAAAATTAAAAAACCTCCCTACCCTCCTTCCCCCTCATACAAACACTGCCCCTCACACACCCTACACACACTGCCCTGCCCCCCCATACACACACACTGCCCCACAAACACTGCCCCATACACACACACACTGCCCCACAAACACTGCCCCCCATATACACGCTGCCCCACAAATACTGCCCCCCATACACACACTACACACTGCCTCACAAACACTGCCCCCCATACACACACTACACTGCCCCACAAACACTGCACCCATACACACACTGCACACCCATACACACACTGCCCCACAAACACTGCCACCCATACACACACTGCCCTACAAACACTGCCCCCCATACACACACTGCCCCAAACACACACACACACTGCAACTCTCACACAAACTGCCACCCTCACATACACACTGCACTGCTCACACACACACACACACACACACACACTGCAGCTGCCCCACACATACACTGCCCCCTAACACACACACTGCAACCCTGACATACACTGCCGCACTCGCACACACATTTCACCGCTCACACACACTCTGCACCTTTCACACACACTTCACCCCTAACACATACCACTGCTCCTATGCCCTATATCCCAGCAGACCCCAGGTAAGTTGTCAAACTGTTCTTAAACGGTTTGACTACTTACTCTGGGATGGGATCCTGGCACTACTGGTGCCATAACTACTACACTGAGCTGTAGTGGTTATTGTGCCTGGATTATTCCTTTAAATAATCTACAAGTGCCCCTCCCAAGATCAGGCTCTGGATCCGCCACTGGAGGGGGGTGAAGGTGTGAGGGAGGGGGGACACTGGCAGGGAGGGATACTGTGAGGGGGGTACTTACAGGTGATAGTGTGGGAGGGAACACTGAGAGGGAGGGGGTAATCGTGTGAAAGAGGGGGGATAGTGAGGGAGGGGTTGAAGGTGTTAGGGTGGGGGATACTGGGAGGGAGTAATAGTATGAAATAGGGGTATACTGGGAGGGAGGGAGGGAGGGAGGAGGGGTTAGTGTGTGGAAATGGAGGGATACTGAGAGGGAGGGGGTAATAGTATGAAAGAGAAGGGATACTGGGAGGGGGTGAAGGTGTGAGGGAGGGGGATAGTGGGAAGGATAGGGGTGATGGTGTGGAATGGGGGGATACTGGGATGAAGTGGGGAATACTATGAAGGAGGGGGTGATGGTGTGAAGGGGGGATACTGGGAAAAAGGGGGTGATGGTGTGGAAGGGGGAGATACTGGAAAGGATAGGGGTGATGGTGTGGAAGTGGGGGATACTGGGATGAAGTAGGGAATACTGGGAAATACTCTCATTAATGCATGTGGTGAGCAAAGGCTAGTCTGTCTGGTCCGATCACACAGAAGAGCTGCTGTAGCTCAGATTGTTGAAAAACATAATATTGGTCAAGATAGAAATGTGTCAGAACACACAGTGCATCGTAGTTTGCTGTATTTGGGCCTGTGTAGCCGCAGACTGATCAGAGTGACCCTGATGACCCCTGCGCCTTCAATGAGAACGCGAGCGTCAAAACTGGACCATGGAGCAATGGGAGAAAGTTGTCTGGTCTGAGGAATCACGTTTTCTTTTAGATCAGGTGGATGGCCAAGTGTCTGCGCGAAGAGATGGGAAGAAAGCAGGCTTGTGAAGGCAGGGTTATGCTCTGGGCAATGTTCCGCTGGGAAGCCTTGGGCCCTGGCATTTATGTGGATGTTACTTTGACACGTACAACCTACCTAGAGATTGTTGCAGACCATGCACACCCATTCCCCTGTCCACTGCCCGTACCCGTAATGCTAGCTCGCTTACAGGACTTTACGCAGGTGGCTCCATTCTTATGGAACAGTCTGTCTCCCCCCTGAGGCTTCCCTAGTCTTCATTCCTTCCAAAGTTGCTAAAACTCCACCTCTTCAAAATAGCCTATGAACTCTAAAAGTAACTGTCATTTACTCTACGCTTAACTCGCACCTTCCAACTCTGCTACTGTCCCACCCTGTCACTTGGCTCTCATACCTCACATTGCCCTTTCAATCTTTTATATCCCAATTCATCATTAACCTATTAGTCCTGTTTAAATTTGTATTAGTTTGTCTAGCTTCTTGTTAAATTCCCTTTAATACTATAAAGTGCGGAATAAATTGGCATTGTATAAATTAATAATGCTATATAGTTACTGTATCTTTAAATCCAGATACACACTGAAGCTTGACGTTAAAACCTGACGTGTCCTTAAAGGGAATAGAATAGTTAATTATTATTTTTTGCACAACAGACGAACACAATCTTTTTACTTTATAAAGCGCATCTTCACAGCACGGCATATGTTATTAAACTTTATTAATTACCTGTTTGGAAATAGATTTGGCTAGATTGTAGAAGGTAATTGGAACGTACATTCTTATATAAAAGGTTTGACCCAAATAGGCTAAACGTCATCTTTCCAACAATAAGTTCTATGTTTAAACATCTCCTCCTGCTTGAGCATAGGTGTGCCTCCGTATCCTGAATTAATCAGTAAGGTCAATATTTAGCAAAGTGCTAATGAAGCTCAGATCCTAGATTCATTTTATTTGTCGCCATTTGTACAATGCAGCCTCAACAAATGCTAGCTTCATGCGTTGCTGATATTTAATTCTAATAATCACTTTGTTGTAACAAAATTTCTGAATCTTTCTTTTTTTTTCTTTCACTTCACTACAAATCCCCAAGAAATCCGTACTTGGAAGAAAGCCTCATAAAAGTTTTGTAGAGTCTGCAGGGAATTCCAGAGGAAGGAAACAGGGAGTTTGGGCATTAAATGATACAAAGTGTTTTGAAAGTGACTCCATAATATTATTGTGTTTTTGTTTCTTGACGTTTTAGCGTCTCCCTAAATAAACACGGGGGTAGTTAGATGTAAACCCCTTGCCTTTAAAGCTTACACAGGTATCAGCAGTACTTCACTCGTGAGGCAAATGGGAGGCTGAAACGCTGGTCGGGTGTTGCTGTATCTCTTGGGATCTAGGCTGTTCTGTGGGTGGGTCAGTCCTAGTTATTACGCAGCACGTTGTACTGTGAATGTGTTTAGTTATTACCCAGCACGGTGTACTCTGAATGTGTGTTTAGTTATTACGCTGCATGGTGTACTGTGAATGTGTTTAGTTATTACGCTGCATGGTGTACTGTGAATGTGTGTTTAGTTATTATGCAGCACGGTGTACTGTTAATGTGTGTTTAATTATTACGCTGCACGGTGTACTGTGAATGCATGTTTAGTTATTACGCAGCACGGTGTACTGTGAATGTGTGTTTAGTTATTACCCAGCACGTTGTACTGTGAATGCGTGTTTAGTTATTACCCAGCAGGTTGTACTGTGAATGTGTGTTTAGTTATTACCCAGCACGGTGTACTGTGAATGTGTGTTTAGTTATTACGCTGCACGGTGTACTGTGAATGTGTGTTTAGTTATTACCCAGCACGGTGTACTGTGAATGTGTGTTTAGTTATTACGCTGCACGGTGTACTGTGAATGTGTGTTTAGTTATTACCCAGCACGGTGTACTGTGAATGTGTGTTTAGTTATTACGCTGCACGGTGTACTGTGAATGTGTGTTTAGTTATTACGCTGCACGGTGTACTGTGAATGTGTGTTTAGTTATTACGCAGCGTCGGAACGTTCTGCTTTCCTTGAGCGAGTGCTGTTTTTTGTTCGGTTTCTTGTCACTAATAATCCGTCCTAGGAACTGCTGAGTTTTTTTTTTGTCAGAGGGTCAGGAAGGAAATAAATGGGCTAAATCTCGACGGAAGCTATTGTTTCCCTAGCTCTGGCAGTGCTGACAGCCATGATACGGTGATGGAAACGGCTTCCCGCATGATTTCTTTCTCTATGGAGATATGAATGTGGAACAGGAAATGTTATTAGCAAGCGCCCACGAAATGCCCCCCTTCAGTCCTATGTAATCTCAGGGATTTATATTCCCCGTGACACCCTGCTCTGTCTCCCCGTGACACCCTGCTCTGTCTCCCCGTGACACCCTGCGCTGTCTCCCCGTGACACCCTGCGCTGTCTCCCCGTGACACCCTGCGCTGTCTCCCCGTGACACCCTGCGCTGTCTCCCCGTGACGGTCTGCGCTGTCTCCCCGTGACGTTCTGAACTCTGTCCTCGTGACACTCTGCGCGGTCTCTCCAGGATATTCTGTACTGTCTCCTTGTGACACTCTGCTCGGTCTCCCCATGATACTCTGTGCTGTCTCCTTGTGACACTCTATTCTTGTCCGGGCAGTGCCAGCGAGGATATCGAGGTGGGTAGCAAGCTAATATCCAATACAATGGGTTATAGTACAATAGTGGCAATATTGTTTTGTAGTGTTTACACCTAGAGAGCCTACGGTTACCAAACCTGTGATTTGTAGACATTTCACTGTACATGATTAATGGTATAGTCTAGTAAGTGACTTTGGAGGAGAGACACTGCTCCTGCAAAATGCAAATGTTTTCATTTTTCAATGCCCACCAACTAGCGGCTGTCAATCAGACTGTCACTGCGGGCGCCTGACATAATTAAATTCTATAATTAATCTATTTGATGCCCGGAGTCAGCATGCAGAGTATACGGACACTGTGTGCATATAATCAGAAACATCACATTAAAATTAAAAAATTGTAGGGACTAGAAACATAATATATACAAAAAAAATAACCATTGGGAATAAAATGCAAAGTTCTAATAGTGAAGCAGTAAGTGTGATGCTTCCATTGGTTTCCATGGCGATTGCACCACATTTAAACTGTTATTCCACGGTAGCTACGGATTCCAATAAACCTTCTCGTTTATCAAGCTATACCGATCGGGATTTTTTTTTTACTTATTTGATGTTACTCTTGGCTTCTAAATCCACCAGGACTATTCCCGAAACCAGATATTAACAAGGAAATTGCAAATTTAATAAGCTCCGCTTATTTGCAACCCTTTGGTCAAATCCCGAAAATGCACATTTTAGTTAATAAATGTGAATTCTTTTGCCAGAGGGTGAAACAATTTCGTTTTTAAGCATTTATGTTTGTTTTCCGAGGATAAAAATCATTTTGGAAAACTAAAATAAACACAGACCGAGTAAGCAAAAACTAAAACCAATGTAAATAATGCTTTCTTTAACTTAAATCACCTCTAGGAGGCAGCTTTGCCCACGTTCATTGTCCACTTTAGATTCTAAATTTACAGAAATTCAGTAAGGAGTTTTTATCCCCATAAATAAGTGCTTTACATGAATCAGACACATCCAGATAAAGGAAGAAGCTTTGCAGAAAATTCCTGAGGAATTAGCAATGTACAGATGTTTGCTCTGAGCCCAGCCAGACAGAATATCCTGTTAAGTACAGGAGACTAATTATATGGGATGCATGGATCAAATTCCGATTTAAATGATACCCATGTTCTTTAGAATAGTGCGAGTTTCGATATTTCTAGGCTCTCCGTAGTGTTGTCAGGTGTTCCCCGTGCACAATGATTAAATAGAATGAGGTCACCCCACTCTGCACGCAGTGAACTCAAGCCCCGGCAATACTAGCCCGTGTTAGGGTTATTCTGCTCCCCTGATATTCTGCATTATTTCTGACCTTTTCCCAGCTGCTCCCCTTTGTAGATCACTTGGCTTTGTTCCCCTGACTTCAAGCACCTGTTCTGTTATTTTTGTGTTATCACTTTTTTTTATTTTTGTGTGTGCCCCTGTTATCACCGTGTTCAGGTGACTGCCAGCCTGTGCGCACTTTATTCCTAAACTAAATATTTTATGTCTACAACAAGAGACCGATTGGTCTTGGCATCGTATTAATGAAGAAGGCAACAAGGCTAATATCCCCCAGCTGGGGGCTCCCAGGCCCCCCACATGCCCATGTTACATTAAATTAGAATTTGATCTCAGCCATGTCCTAGCAGGACTCGAACAAACACTATAAAATCCTGCGAAGAATAACCATCATTTTTATTTAGAGTTTGAATGTATTATCTGAAGAATGTATTGAAAAGGGCTAATTTTTTTTCATTTTTAAACTGGTCTTAATTCTATTTTTGTTTTTTTTTCTATCAGTTTTTATCTTACAATTTGGGTGCACAAAAATGCTGTTTGTTCACTTTCTGTAATATTTCCTCAATCTTTCTTGTTTGAAGGGCAATGATCACGTGTCTGGGTTTCACTCCACAGAGTAAAACATTAAAAATCACCTATACCTTATATAACATTATTTTCTCAGGACGGACCATTTTCTTGTCAATGTGTATTAAAGATTTAACAATTGACATCACAATCCTGTTCAGTTCTGGCACAGCCAGGACACACAATGCAAATGAGGAAGATACACAGAAACATTGGGGGAGATTTTTCAAACGCTTCTGTTCTTAAAAGTGCAGCGATAACCGTGGAAACCAATGAAAGCAGCAGAAACACTGGTGACCTCACATCTTTTACATTTTTAGAACAGGACATGTTGATAAATCTCCCCCAATCTTTGTTTGCCATGCTCTTGCGAAGCTAGCTGATGGCTACATGTAACGTCTAGAGGTAATACAGAGGTCTACACATGTAATCTTATTGTTCAGACCCTATAAATGTGACTACTTACTTGTTAAATATAGGGATAAGTAGTATACAGAATTTTAAATATCTTTTGGAAAGTGACAGCACTCCTTAAAGAGTTACTTTTGGTTTCTAGTCTTTATTACTACTTCAAAGTGTCAGACATAATTCTTTTTTGAGTGGATTCAATTCTTTATTTACCCACAGTAGGAACAGTCAGGGCCTCTGTGTTGACAAACGCCTGGGACAGTGTTTAATAAGTGGGGTGGGCACCTTGACTCTTTGGCACGTATCCTAATGTGACAAACACATCCTGCACCAATGCAAATATCCTTTCTTACTCCGTAAGTACCGGCTCAGGGCAGCGGCTGCCTGGAGCAAGACCATAAAGTGAATTTAAATCTAGGCTGTTAAAGTGAAACTGTCATTTTTGTTTTTTGGCTCCCAGACACCATGTGCAGAGAGACAGAGACTAGGTTACACCATAACCTTATAGCTGCTGTTATAATACACTGTGTGCAGGGAGACAGAGGACCTCCTTACACCATAACCTTATAGCTGCAGTTATAATACACTGTGTGCGGGGAGATACCCGGATTTCCTTACACCATGAAATTAGTATTGGTGGTTGTTATGCTTTGAGTGTCCCCTGTCTACGTTGGTGTTAATCAACATGACATTATCAGCTTGCAGTGGGCGGTTTTGCAAACATCTGTTGCCTCAATGAAATTTCCTTGAAACTGACCCTCACAACTCTCATAAACATTAGACCTTAATCTGCAAAAAAAAAAAAAAAAAAGGTTTCAAATGTCTGGTATTAACGCTATATCGGGAACGCTCTACATGCTTCAACTCTTCATTGTGTTAACTCTTTGAGGGATTGTCTACTTAAAATTGTACCTAATATTTCTAAATAATGCAAAAAGAATTGCCCAAAATGAGTTACCTTGTAAAGTGTCTTTTGGTGCACTGTTTAGTGGGTGTGTTTGCTGCAATAAGACCCCCTCCTACGCCAGTCGCTTCAATCATCTCATTATAGTGGCTGAACTTTGTTCCTGTGTCGGTTTTTGTTTTTGAGGTATGTGGGTTATCCCCAAAGAGCAGTTCCATAAGTCACATAGAATGATTGGAACTGCACTGTCCCCAGCGCGACTCTCTCACCAGAGATATGCTTTATTTGCATTTATTTTGGATTTCTGTTGATCCATGACCATTGTTTCTCGGAATGGAATAATACTCATTGCTCCCCCTGATATTATGATGGGCATTTACTGCAAAGATGAACCACCAGTGAAATATGGCCGTGCGCGATTCACCCTTCAATTAAAATCAAAACGCGCAGTGTTATAAAATTTATGAAATCAGTATTTAGGAGTTCAGAATACATTAACCAACCTCTTATAAGTTGGTACATCTCCAATAATTGTTCTCATAGTATTACCCATATCTACGCTGACTGTAAAACAAAAACTAAAACGAAATTACAATGATATATCAGTGAACAAAGTGCGGCTGTTTTAAAAGCTCTTGCTAAAACTTGGTTGGTTTGCAACACGTTAATAATCATTTACATAGCAATAGGTATCTCCATCTGTTTTTTTTTTTTGCATATATGAAAATATATCCCAAGTAAAGTATTAAAAAAATCCCATCATTTTTTTTAATATCTTTTTTTTATCAGTCGCAGTATAAATTTACATTTTATTTCACATATTTTAAGTTTTTTAGATAACATTTTTTTAAAGATCTTTTTTCGAATAACCTTTGAGATTTTCTTAGTTAAACCACTAGATATAATTTATTCTTGTTTGTGTTTATGATAAGCAATAACGATTATTGAAGTAGAGACAAAAAAATCCTTATTAAACACAAATTATCCTTCTGGCTCTGAAGTATTGTGTAATTTATGAAGCAGACACCAACCCAGCACAGATATTTACTGAAATACCTGTGTTACTTTAACATCCTAAATATCCGGAAGAATACCGATTTTTGTTCCAAGATTAAATCTCTACTCCCTTTCGAACATAAGTAAAGCGTAATTCTGGAGCAAAGTTCTAAAACTGGGGCAATTGCCATGGAAACCAATGGAATTTAGAGCTTTGCCCTGCGTAGCAGTTTATACACGGTTCCATGTGTCTTAATGGGAGCCAGTGCCTGTCGAGCTCTTAGTGTGTATCGAGCAAACGGGTGGGGGGGGCTTCACCAACTCGGCCAATTGAAGTACTTGATGGCGCGGCTGCTGTTGGCTCCTTGCCTGGAATGCCCCCAGACACAGTAAATTGTTTTGTGTCACATGGCGTAGGACGGTTCTTGAAAGGCAAAATACCATGACTTCTTTTTAATAAATTCATAATTCCTTAAGTAGTTTTTTTTTTTTTTTGCCTCAGCTGATGCGCAGTGACTTTGATGGTTATGGTATAAGGAGGTCCTCTGTTTGACTGCACTGTCAAGTCATTGCCTTTTCCCGAGTATCTAAATACTCACAACACAAAAACACGACAGAAGGTTAGGAACCTGCATCCCTGCTTTAATTAACAGCCACTCACATCACTGTCAGCCAGAGATTGAGGGGAGTTTAGACTAGCCAGAGTTACGGGAGCCCCCCTGCTCTCAAAGCCTTCTGCAAGAATATCGTATTATTATTTAAATAGTGCCAACACATACTGCAGCCTTTTAGAATTCATAAAAGTAAGGTGGGACAGTTAGTGTTTTGATGTATGCAGAGATTTCCAATAGAAATCCATCTCTGCATGCCAGCGGCCGCAGATTAGAAAAGGGATCTAATTATCATGTAGTTATTTTATGTATATAATCTACAGATTATGTATAGAAAATGTGAACAAATGTGACGTGTTTTGTGGAAGTACAGGGTATCCTGTATCAAGCGATAGCTGATCTGTTACAATTGTTGCAAATGAAAGAATAGAAATGTGTACATGTGCCCTATATGGTGATCGTGCGGCCCATTTAGATACCGTTACACAGAACACAGAGGTGTTTTGGTAAAACAGATTATGTTTAGAGATTTTTTCCATTTCTTTATACATGACCAGTAATATGTACGGTAAATCATGTGAGGAGCTGGGAATCTCCCAGGATATATATTTTATTTTTTTCTCGCAGCCTGATCTGTGTCCGTCATCCCGCCAGGACATTGTGCGCTGTGTGCTGTAAGGTCACCTTGCTCTGTGCACCAGAAGAATACAGAGGAATAAGGCAAGGTCCTCCCAATCAGGTCTGCAGGGAGGTCATTATCAGACTGATTTCTTTCCCTCGGATGTTCTGCGGGTTGTTAAGCCTACTTTCCTGCAATAAATTAAATATATGCAGGGTACTTGTAGTCGCTAAACTTGCCATCTTGTCTCTGTGCAAACTGCAATCCCTATGAAGCACAAGCAGCTGGGAAATATATACTTCCTAGATTGTAAGCACTTTGAGCAAGGCCTTCTTCACCTCTTTAGTCTGTCACTTACTTGCTATAATGTATCCCCACTGTTTGTTGTAAAGCGTGAATGGTCGCACTATATAATATTAATTTATATATATTTTTTGTTTTTAAGATTCTGCACATGGATGCTGTGGATTTAAATTTTTTTGTTAGGCCAAAATTGCTTAACAAAAGTTAAATAACTAATGTTTTCAAATTTGACTATTTTGCATTGCAATTCGAAATTCCCTTTGCATTCCCAGCAGTTCACAATTTATTGAATAACCCCTGTTGTGAGGGTTAAATAGTGTGTACAGAGAATTGGCAATCAAGCACAATGTATTTATCACATAGGGCTCGGAGCAGGGTTCTTAGAGTGGAAAAATATGAAGGAAAAATACAAAGGGGGTTTTTCACAAAGGTTTGTAACGTGAACTGGTCTTTTTTAAAACTCAGAAATGTTGTTAAAAAGTTTTTAAATCCATTTGGAGGCTGTCAATGGGGAGCAAGGTGTGTGCCCACGAGACCCCATCAAAGTGCAGTAAATGTTCCCTAGCCATATGTTATCGGAGTTGTAAGGGTGAAAGGTGACCTGGAAAAAAAGCAGATGATTAGAGAATACAAGGGTAAAAATTATACACTAATGAACAAGTCAATTTTAATTTAAACAATATTAATGGAGTGAAGCAAAAGAAGTGTCAAAGCCATTAAATAACAACTTAACAAGGAACTCCTATTAGAAAGGGAATGAATAAAAGTTTACATTTAATTCAAAACAAATAATAAGGAAATAAATGGTTCTAAGTGGATGTTTGCAAGACAGTCTGTCCCAGTGTCCCTAATGTACCACCAAGACAAGACAAACACTGAAATAAATTAATTAAGGTATGGGATCGGGTATAATGTAAGAATTACTTTAAAATGCAGGTTTTAAGGCATTAAATAGCAGCTAACCTAGTATGCCTCCCTCCCCATTTACCGGCAATCCATGCCACTCCTGGATTTATTGTTTGTTAATATCTGGACTGACGTCGGATGCGGGGCCCAGGTTGGTTGCTGGTTCCGACTTCCATGTTGGCCTAGTGATTAGGGTACCCATCACGTAGCATGTTGCCACACCCACCGTACTTAGAGTTAAGCACAGGTATCATTAATGCTAACCGGCCTCATAACAAATACCTCATCTACGAGATGAGAAATATATATAGGTGTTTTCTATAACAACTTCATATAACAGGTTGGGCACGGCAGAAGTAACTCCGGAAATACTCTATGTCCATTACTCACCAATCATGAATATAACAAGAGATATAGTCTAGTGTACAAGGTCTCCCATGTTCATTTATGATACCCTGCTGAATTTAAACTAACGGGCGGATGGGTTTAGTCACCCTATTGGCAAGTATAGTCTCTATCATGACCAACTTGATAGCAACAACCTAGTTTTAACATACTTATGCTCGATTTGAATTGTTATACGTATATACATAGACCTGCGTGTCTTGCTTTGTTACTGTTGATGACTATGCATACTCCTCAATAAAAAGATTTACAAAAAAAAATATCTGGACTGACTTAGTCCAATTCTTGTTTCTAGCTGGTTTTGTTGTGATATATATCGTGTATACTGTACATCATACTAAGCTACTTCCAGATTTGCAATAATGCTCTTTGCGCTTGCCGTTCACTGTATACTGTGTTCTACGTAATAAAATAATTAGCAAGAAAGGGGCAACTCGTTAGAACTGTAAAGACACAAACTCTGTGCGCCATTAATGGCGGGTCTCTCAGTGGAGATATTGGCAGCTTTGTTTCCAAAAAAAAATATGAAAAGTTATAAAGTGATTTCTGTTTTATTCCACTACTGTTCCTTTAACAGTCTCTCTAGATGGGTTTTCTATATATCGCCTGTTTTACACCTCTTTATAAAAATATACACAAAACTCCATAGATTTAGCTCCGTCCTATTTTGATGTTTTGTCTTTCTTTTCTCTTGACTCAGGGGAGTTGAAGCTCAGCAGATGATGGAACTGGTGCCATGTCTTTGGGTCGGCTCCTTCGTCGTGCGTCCTCCAAAGCTTCCGACCTCCTGACACTAAACTCTGGAGGAGGAACGCAGTCGGTCCTGGATGGGGAAATTATATTCTCTAAAAATAATGTGTGTGTGCACCCTCCAGAACTGCTGCAGGATGTGGGATCCCATCACCCAGGTAATCTTAGATCTCATTAGATATCCAATTTTATAAATGCCAATTTGTTTTTGTCTCTACTGAAGTGGACAACCAAAGTAGTCTTTAACCTGTCTTTCCAGTGCACCCATTTATTTTTGAAGGGTTGGCTACGAAATAAAATAGAATGTTGAGACTTGGCATATGATAAATTGATAATTCTCTTTTTCCTGTAGGTTACATGTGTGTTTATATGGAGAAGGATGAGTCTTTGGGTTCCACTTTGATCCTTGCTTGGGTTCCAAACTCCCGTATCCAACGGCAGGATGAGGAGGCGCTGCGTTACATCACACCAGAAAGTTCTCCTGTCCGCAAAGCACCACGCAAGAGAAATAGACACCTGCCCGGGGCTGTCGCCTCCACACCTAATAAACCAGCAGTTACCTCTAAAGAAGGTCCAGGGGAGAACATAGGAACAAGGGAAGCCCACTCCTCTGCAGAGCAGAATCCCTCCGAGTGCTCTGTGGAGGAAATTGGGGAGCAGTTGGAGGACGAGAAGTCTTTGGACTTATCTTCTGATGAAGTGAGCAAGGACAGTACTTTAGACTCTGATTCGGATCCCTTCTCCTCCCCCTTCTGCCTATCTCCAATAAGTGAGGCTTTGGGCGAGAGCAGCGGGTCTGTGTTCTTGGAAAATGAAAGCCGGTGAGTCTTTCTCTCTTTCATATAAACCCAATATATACCTCGGCATTGTTCATCTTCCTAATTTGAATAATCACTTGTGAAATAAGGCAGCTATTGGTCCGTCAGCCTGGCCGTTTCCAATGCTTTTAAATGGACTTCTGTTGAGATGTCAAAATATGTCGGCAAAAGAATTGTGAAAAATATATTCTGTCGAAATTATGATTTACAAAAAAAAATCAAAGTAAAATTACATTGGAAAAATGCAAGCAACTTGCTATTAATTATCATAAAGTGGGATGTATCATTCGATTCTTTAAGAAATGGAAGTTAAATGAGCAGAGACACGTGTGTGTATTTTAATTTCATTGTGTTAAGAAAATGGGGGTAATGTGCTGCCTGTATTAATAATTAGTACCACAGGAGGGAGCTGTTGTATACACAAATTCATACCAGAACTCCAGTTGCTTTTACAAACTGACTTGACACTGGGACTGTTCTTTTATTATATTTATTTATTTATTTTTAAAGCAGATCTGTGTAATTATTAAAGGTCCTAAATAAAGTGCTTTTTACTGTATTTATCAGTGAATGCACTGTAACAGTGGGTTGGAAGAATACAAATTTTGACCATATTCAGAACTTTTTTTTAGGCTGATGTCATAGAAAAACATACAGGAGATTGCAGAGTTTACCGTGCCCTTAGTAGATTTGGGTTAGAATCACCTGGATATTTAACAAACCTCCAAAACACCACGTGCCATCTATTCCATTCCGTGAACAGAAAACAAATGCTGTTTAATTCATATCGCCTGAATACACCGGATTGGACGTTGCTCTTAGTCTGTGTACGCCTGCCTGCCTTTATATATAAGACGTTACAGAATTTCCAAAAATCAGTGCACAAATAGTGATTGAGAAAATGCTGAGAATCTTTTTTAATAAAATAAATCATAGAGTGCATGGGCTGTAATTACAATGTTTACATGCCAGAACTAAGAGGGATCTTTGTTTTGTGTCCCATTTGGCCAGGGATGACGCAGATAGTCCCACGACTGGTTATACGTCTTCTAGTCTAAATGCCAACTCCCAATTCAGGGAGATGAACGGTCAAGGAAGTGCAGCAAGGTGGGAAGAGCAGCAGAAGCTTTTGGCGTTGGAACAGACGTGCGGCGTGTTCCGTGTGGATCTGGGTCAAATGCGTTCCCTACGCTTCTTCTTCAGGTACGGACAAACCATAGTGTGATGGTCATGACAAGGCTGAAGCTCTCCAATCAGGTCGAACATATTGTCTGCTACCTCAAATAATCTCTCGTATATCTTTGTGCTAACCTACTTTAATACTTACTTTTATTATGCAAAATATCTCTCCCGACAGATTCCAAATATGATGCCTTGTTCCCTTATTAATGCATATGTTTCTTTATTCTTAATTTGACCATAGACTCATTAGACTTTCTATAAACATGTAGATTTTTAAATTTTTATTATTATTTAACTATTTTCATTTGACTCATTTTTTTTTAAATGTATTTTTCCACGCCTTTTGTATTGCTGTTGCCTTATCTGTAACGATGATTGGATAAAACATTTTGTTTCTTTGGCAGTGACGATGCCGGCACCAGTGGACAGTTGGTGGTAGCCAGCAGAGAGAGTCAATATAAAGTCTTCCATTTCCACCATGGTGGCTTGGGGAAGCTCTCGGAGGTGTTCCAGAAGTGGAAGTACTGCCGAGAGACACAACTCAAGGAGCAGGTGAGAGAGATTCGACATTTAGAGAGTGTCCTAATGGAGTGAGTGGGCAGGGGTTTTTGGATAAGTGAAACAATTAAGGATATTTGGAAAATTAGAGGGAGAAAGGGATAGAGGCCGACGGGAGGATGAGAGCAAGGAGAAGAAGTAGATGAAGGTTGGTCAATGATGGCCGTGCTTGATTCTACATTTACTATTTATCATAAATTCCACAATGTGTTGCCAGCTTTAAAGGAACACGCCAATGGAATTTTTATTGAATTAATGTTTTTAGTAGATATACCACTGATGAAAACATGCATGCATTTTATAATCTTTTTTTTTTTTTCTTCATTGGGTGTATACCTAAAAGCACATTGCAAAAGTTGCAGATCTTTTGTCTGGAGCCTTTGCAAGCCCTTACCGTTAAACACTGCCCAGAATTTCTGTTGCTGTCCAATCACTGACTTCCCAGTGAGAAGTCTTTACAAGGCAGGTGCTCTCATTGCTGTCGCTTGGGTTGAGCTTCACTGAGCTAACCAAACCAGGAAGTAATAGGACATGTCTGATTGACAGCCAGGGGGGTGTAACCACGTTCATTTATAAAATTGACAATTTCTATTGAAATCTAAGTTTTTTGTAAAATGGCGGGTGAAAGAGGATGCACTCTTCACAAATAAAACAACTCTAAGCTAAACTGTTCTGAGTCCTAGTTCACAGTTGATTATATTATTTCTGTTGTCCGTTCTATGTGATAAAGTCTGTAGAAGGAGTTAAAGAGCTTTGGCACAGATTGATCTGTAATGTCTGCTGACAAATCAAGAATATTTTAGACGTTTCTTATTGTGTCACTTGTTTTGTACGTTTTTTTGTTTGTTTGGTTTTTCTTATCCACCCTCCACCACTAATTGTTATAGAGCTTTGTCCCACAACATAAAAAGTTGTGTGGCCGTAAAAAGTCCATTGGAGGAAGGAGGGAAGTGTGGATACTGTTAATGAGAAGCTGCATCTCGTTTAGGAATTGAAGCGTGCTCACACACTTTGACATTTGACAGCCTCCTGCGAGTCTCAGCCAGAATAGCAGCGTTCGGTCCCTGCTCCTCAGGGGGGTGATGATGGCAGTGAATGACTTGCCTGAAGCACACACAGCCTGGTGGCTGCCACGTAATGCATCCTGTCTGCTCTCCCTTTAACATGGCCCATTAGCCGTACACAGCCACGTAAGATCTAATCCTGTGTGTGCCAGCCTGAGGGCAGGGCACGGCTTCTGGGCGAGTGAGGAGTCTGCTGCGCCAACAAATAAGGAAGGGTTAATTAACTGTAATTAACAGGAATAATGTCCTTTATCCCAGGGGAAGGTTGGATGTGCAGACAAATTGACTTTAGTGATTCAGTTCCCACAGGGACAGATTGACATGCTGCATTATACATTGAGACTGAGTATGACCTGTTTTATGGTTCGAGAAAACATCATATAATAATACAAGGAGCAGACCGGGACAGCTGATTAATAAACACTCCAATCTTTAAATAAACAATCTCCCTGTATTATATCATGAACAATATATAGATAACATGGAACATGATTAGACGTCTGTAATTAAATGGCACACTGTGCTCTTAGTAGTGTGTATGTTGTATATCAATTAATTGAATTTGGAAATAAATATAATTTTTCTAAATATAAAAAAAAAAGGCAAAGTGGTAATTATACAGACTTACAGCGAATAAATTCCAGTTAGATATCAAATTAGCTGAATTTACACAGATAGTTCAGCTGGGTTTCTGGAAGATGTGTCCAATCTCGTCCAATCTCGTACTGTCTGGAAGATGTGTCCAATCTCGTCCAGAACCATCCTTTGTACCACAAAGAACCCCTCCCACTCTCACATGTGCCCCTTAATCCCAAACTACTCACATTGTCGTCAGATCATGTACGGACCAGTCCATCCACCAGGACTATTATCAACGACAAATAAAGACTTCTAAAGGAAATGTGTGTTGCCTCAGTCCAGGGATGGCTTGGCTTGGCACTGCAGAACTTTGTAAGTCTGGCTGAGCATTATTACTGAGTGTTCTTCACATCTGCAATGTCAAGGTTGATCATCACTGGATTAATGGGACACTCTCTTGTTTTTTATGGGAAATTGCAAATGTAAAATGTATTTTTCTTACTCTCCCTTTCCGTTCCTCATTCAGGTGACAGAGGAGAAGACCTGTCTTCATTTCTCCATCCAGAGGCCCAATCTTCCTTCTTCTGAATCTCACCCAGAGGAGGGTATCTACCGACGTCTGGATGTCACCAGCTGGCTGCAGCACTTCAACGAGGCCGGGCAGGTGGAGGAGGAATACAAACTTCGCAAGGTAAGGCTGGTCAGTCTGTGGTGTAGGACATACCTCGTGAGGTGAGTGGGTTTTAGGGTCGTTTTCACTTCACCTTAGTTCCCAAGTGGCTGGTATTGACCTCCTGGGGTAGTGAGGAGTTTCCAATAATAAGTGTTATCAACCAGCACTACAAGCATGACTCCTTACTCTGTGTGTGCAAAGTGATGCCAGGCCCAAAGTCCTGTTTAGGATTATCTAGAATGGGGGTGGGCAATCTTCGGATGTTATGGAAGATATCTCCCCTGATGCTTTGCCAGCATTATGACTTTAAGAGCATCATGGGAGATGTAGTCTTTAACATCTGAAATGCCAAAGGTTACCTACCACTGTTCTAGATGGTCCAGCAAACTGCATTTGTGAAAACACACCCTAAGTGTCTGGACTGATTCACACCGTATTTTCTTTAACTGCCGGTGCAGACACGGGAAGAGCTGCTGTTTTAAGTTTTCTGGTTTCTAATGATATAATATCATCACATGACATGCTTTTCTCCAAACCACAATCAAGGCGGTTTGATGCTCTCGGAGTATTGCTCGTAGTACCGATACCCTGAGATACTTAGCCTCTATTAACCCTAAATTAACTGCTACCCTGGTATACTCCCACATTGCCATGCTGGCAGACAATATAACACATTCACAAACACAAATATCCAATAAAGCCGTGTGATACTCGCATACACTAACATATAATCGGATCATCACTAGTACACTCACATTCGAAGATACACAATGTAGCAATCTGCCACAGACACACTTGCTACACTGACATTCATATGCACTCTTTTCATTATTTCTAAGATATTTTCAGTCTTTGTTACTCAGACTTACTAATGTATGTGTAGACAGGGCTACTGCTCAAATTATACCTTCACATACCGCCAGCGACACGGATTACCACAAATATGCACACAGTCACTGTGGTACACCACACATGCGCACACCCCTATACTTTATAGGCTTGTTGGGAGAGATATTTGCTGGCCAGCACTTGTACACTCAGACTTCTGGTTACACGCACTGGAGTCATGCTATGTTAAAAGACCCGCATGACTCGCGTTTACACCATATAAATAAACAGAATTTCAAACCAGGAAAAGATTAATTTGAATGCTCACTGTTGCACACACAGATACTTAATCCTATGGAAAATGAATTGATTGCTAGCTCTTCAGATTAGATTTATGAAATGCTTTGATGCCTATAAAGCTTCAGACCCTTATTTGGGAAGCCAAGGTACTCACAGGACGCAAGGAAACCATGTTTGTGAATGAAATGTGAAATAGTGGCTCATCCAGTGCATCATGGGAAATGTAGTCATCAGGCATCTGAAATTGTAAGCCGCTAGTCTGCGTTGCATCTCCTGCTATATGGTCCCTGAGTGATGTCATACAACGTGCAGCCAATAGGAATCCCCAGATCACAGACCTATTCACAGATAGCCAGAATTAGCAGAATAGGGGAACCTGTTCTAATTTGGTGATGTCCAACCGCAATCTGGCACAATGGATAGCTATCCCAGAGGCAGGATTGATAATCAGATTTGAAAAGAACTACAATTCTTGCTGTTTTGTTTCTTTTTTTGACTATTCGTATCCATCTATTACAGGGGTGTCAAAACAGAAGACCCCCTCCTTCTAACTCTCGTAGAAATAGAACTACTATGACTCTTGGCCCATCTTAATGCTGTCTGAATGGCATTGGATTGATAGCTGGGTGTCTACTGTATGGTGGTCCCTGACCTAGTAGGATTCTTGTCAATGGGCCTGTTTGTCTATTCCTTGTAACACTGATCTGTTTTGTCTCTGTTCATTTCACAGGCCATATTCTTTGGAGGCATCGATCCATCACTGCGAGGTGAGGTGTGGCCCTTCCTCTTGGGGTACTACAATTGGGAGACCACGTCAGAGGAGAGGGAATCACTGCGAGTACACCGGAGGGAGGAATACGCTCAAATCCAGAAAAAGAGGTAATAGGATCTTAGTGTTCCCAAGATACGTGTCCTCTATAGATGGACTAGAATAAGGGTGGCCAATCTGTGCTTCCCTTGGAATTCACTTTGAATTTCCGACAAGTCTCACTTTAGTTAATACATTTTTTTTTGTTGCTGTTAAGGAACATTGTTTTTCTGCTTGCTTAGGAGTCCATGTCAGATATTTCTCACAACTGGGCCTAGTGTAACTCAGCACTGATCTAGCATTGGTGAACAACCTTCAAATCATACTCTACAGATTTGTGTCATCACACATAGCATAATTTCTTCCCATTCTCCCCTACCCCCTCTGTACTTAGCACCTTAACAGAACCTTTCTGTCCTTTTCGTTCTGTAATGGCGTCATTTTCACAATCCGGTTATTCTCTATAGGATCTCACTATGCATTTTTCTTCACCTCTACAGAGTTTCCATGAGCCCGGATTCCCAGAAGAATTTCTGGAGGAATGTGCAGTTCACTGTGGATAAAGATGTGGTGAGAACAGACCGTAGCAACCAGTTCTTCAGAGGGGAGGACAATCCCAATGTAGAAGCCATGAGGTGAGGCTGCAGTGAAAGGATATTTTCTGTTTGTATGTAGGTGATCAGGAGATGAGGATCCATTGGGAACTCCAGTTTTTGTTTCTCAGATCTGTTCTCTCTCATGTGGTTAAACTGCAAGGTGCAAGAACTTTACTGCTAGGGACTCTATGAAATCTTCTGGAAATCGCGTTTGACCGTTCTCACTGGGTTGTGTCAGAAAGTTATCGTTGTGTATCTTGAACTACGTTCATTCTTGGTGTCTTATTAAGGGAATGAATGTGATGTCTAGAATATAAACAATTCTATTGTGGTGCCAACGAGATGCTTCTGGACAATTCCTTTCCCTCTGGTTGTCTCAGACACCGTAGCAGTTTCCTGAAAATTTATGCTGAATGTATTTTAGAATTTCGGCTAAGTTCTCTATAAAGGGAGTGTCTGGGAATATCCTGTGGTGGAGTCGCCCAGGGTATTTTCGTGATGTTCTTATAAAACAAACATTTAATTGCTGACTTATTAGGAATGTCCTGCTTAGTTATCTTTGAGAACCATCTTCTACACCTTATTTATCATTAAGAAAACAGGTCTGGAAAGGATAAGAAAAGTGGCAGTTTCTGGTTGATGGTTACTAAACAGAAAAAGTCCCAGATACACATATCATTTATTCCTGTCCTCGTGTTTCAGTATTTGTTAATACACCGATATTTTAACTTTAGATTAGCATTCCTTCACTGAAGGTATAGCTGTCCTCGTGTAGCGTCCGGTGGTTGGGTTCCTTCGAGGACACATAAAGCATTATTCGCTAAAGCGAGAATTCAAAGTGAATTTCAAATTTAAGGTGAAAACAGCTTAACTGGAAAAATTATGTAAGACGGCTGTTTCATGCGCTCGCCTAATTTAGCCGTAAATTCGAAATTCAAGAGTACTAACTTCAATGATTCAATGAAGGACCCTGATAGGTGGGAATTTGGTTTTCAAGATTAACCTTTCCTGTGAAC